AGGAGTGAACAGATGTGACTAAATAAATCAAGTGTGAAACTGTGACACTGTAACTGTTTTTAATGATTCCAAAGTAATAGTCTACATACCGTGAATGAAATAACATTTATGGGTAACAGAGGGGTGTAACTCTTAGCTCTTTCAGCCTCGAAAAGCCTCCTGAAAGTGCTGTACCGACCACTCCTGTGCATAGCTGTGCCCGGCCCGGCCCGGCACTCCACTTGGATCAGGATATTCTTTCCCTTACATTTACGGTTATGTTGGTCTCACACTGCAAGACTGAAGGGCATCAAGTTCATCTACAAGCAGAACTGAGCGGGTTATACTGAGCAGACCGAAATAAAAATACACATTAAATACTACAGTATGTGATGGATCAGAACGCTTTGCGTTTCCCCCCCCCCCAAAGACAGACAAGACCCACAGCCTTGGATAGTCATTCTCTGTTTTGGATCTTGGCGTGGTAGGACTGTGAGTATCCATTAAAGAATGAAACAAAACTATACGATCATGTAATCATGTGACCCTCTGTCACCAAATCCCAGGGTGACAGCGGGGGGGCAGCTCAGAAATAAACACACGAGAGATATTTTGATCACAGAGGATCTGGCATGGCCTCATGACGACACCACCCTCTGCACCCCCAAGAGGCCTTCCTGGGGCTGGGGCTCTTCTCCAGGAGCGGGGGACCCCAATGCCGCATCATGCCACCCCCCAGAGCAGGTTTGCCCAGGTGTGCCGCCCGACTGTACTTACTGGTGTAAATGTCTGGATTTTCTTTCATGAAAATTGTTTATCGGTTTTCTTACAGTGGCCCTGTACAATGTCGTCATCATCATCTTCATCATCATCATCATCGTTCTTTTCCCACTGCTTTTCCTAGTGTTGCTTGTGGCTGCTTACCATGTGACATACCAGGTAAATTTATAAAATCTTAATTCGGGCTTCATTCTCCATTGTAGTTTAGATATTACAAGACTTCTCAACAGCAATGGCTGATTATCAATGCGGGTGAGAACATTTGAAACCTTCTGGAACACTCTATGGAAATTCACTCCAGCACTCATCATTGTGCGTATGTCAACTAAACTCAAAGCACTTGCCGAACATTCGATAATGAGATTCATTCTGAGATTCTGAGCTGCCATCTTGCCCTCCCCCATCAAATGGTACGTTCCAGCCACACTCCAGTGGCTGAGGTCATAAATACATGGAAATGGAGAGGCATCAAAAATAAAAATGCCAACACATGCAGCAGGCAAGCTGCCTCCATGCACCCAACACTCAAGTGGAAAATATGCGGGGGGTATCTATTGTGTCCCACCCACCCCCACCTCAAAAGAGATAAACTGGGATGAGAGGTGACACCACTTATAGACAATCGGCAGGACGATGGGCACATCACAGCAGATACAAGATGCATTGATACAGAAACACACAGAAAAGGAGGCAGACTTTCAGGAGCTGTTAGCCTGCTCATTCGTCATCATTTGTGGTGTGCATAGCCAATTTAAAGCATTCACATTTACATTTAGCAGATACTAAGTCCAAAGTGACGTACAGGCGAGACAGATAGCAAGCATACAGCTGTCGGCTGGGTATAAATGCGGCTAGCCTGAGCTTCCAGTGAATGACCAGTAACAAGTGCTAGTTAGTACTGGAGCAGGAGCTAA